ATATTATTAGCAATATACTGAAATACTGGAATCCAATATAAAATATACATTCCTATCCAAATTAGGCTAGAAAAAAGGGATTTCTATTCATATTAGATAATAAAATTCCATTCCTTATTTCAAATTGAATAGGAATCCCTTATTTCTAGCCTAATTTGGATAGGAATGTATATTTTATATTGGATTCCAGTATTTCAGTATATTGCTAGTATTCTTTAGGCATATGAATATGTACGAGAGTAGTATAACCTCCTTTCTATACGTACTAGCTGCAATATCAATATGCTAATACGCGCCACGGTTTCACTGTAGTATACTATTGCCTACACTGGCCAACAGAGTAGACCCAGGTGTCGAGCCCTGGGACAGACAGCGACGACAATTGGAGCAAGACAATGGGAATGTAAAAAAGAGTTGCCCACGCGCATTGAACACTGAGGCACATCTCCCCAAAGACCGGGAAATCCTCGTCCAAGGAAGCAACAGCAAAGACAAGGGACACAATACACAGAATGATCTAAGATGATTCTCTTAGTTTGACTCTGTCGAATTTCAATCTTGTTTTTGCATGATCAGAAAAAATATATAACATGAAAACTTACGGTTGCGGTGAATCGAAGAATATCCAGACTTCCAGGAGAAATCACTTGACAATAGCATATAATGCTACCAACGAGCTGGAATAGGACAAGAAAGATTTTAAAGACTATATAAACAGTCCATTCAAGAGAAATTTTGTCCATTTTTACAGTATCAATTAACGTATTTCACAGGTAATTCAAATGAAGATTGTAAATCTGTCGTTCGATTGTGCATGAGGTAAATGGAGGAATGACAAAAAGGCAATGGCGAACATTGAAAGTAGTTCTCAAGGAGACGAAATTGCAAGAGCTTACGGAAAGGCTTGAAAGAGCCAAATCGCTCTTGACACTGGCAATAAACTGCCACGATACGTCAATCCTGAAGCAAAATACAAACCCAGCACAACGACTTCGTTGGTTTTTGCTCTGCTCAGGATGAGAGTTGATATCCACAACCAAGATTGATATTTAAAAACATCATTATCGAATTTGTTTCCCGTGGAAAGTCGTTCTCCTAGACACATATCTAAAATTATAAAAAGACTTAGCGATATTGGTTTGTTCCAGTTGTGAAATTCTGTTTCCTGAGATACTGTCTTGAGATGATTGGGAGAGTGAAACGCATAGGTGGCTCGGTACAACGCATAGAGAATAACTTAAGTATTTGGGGTATTTGACGATAAGTGTAGGAAAGTGGATGTGGGAAGGGACTCGTACTGCCTTAAAAGATGTAGTTTATATATGCTTATATCTGGTATTGCAGGAGACAGAGGATGACCTGTGCCAAGCTTACCCGCGAGAAGAGGGATAGAGTGTGTTGAAGATGAGGCATAGTCTATGCTAGCCTGAATTCGGCCTAATAAGGGGTTGAGAGAACGATTTAGGAAGTAAGCGAAGAATCTGCGTCTTAATCGTGGGAACAAATATTTGGAAAATTGATATTAGAACCGAGGAAATCTATGGAACCTGCTGGTTTACAATCTAATTACTCTTGGTATTTCTATTGGTTATAGAAGTAAAGTTACGTAGAGAGGTCTCTGCTCGATTGGATAGATCTAGAGTTCATCACCCCTCGATTAAACGATTGACCAATGTGATTGTCGATTTCACAATCTATATACGTATCCTCAGGTGTTTTTATATTATCAACTTTTGTGGGGGAATTCTAATCCGTAAGTTTAATACTTTCAGCTCTACGAATGAGATAATAGAAGCAAATTTGAGTTCTTAAATAGAATGCTCGAACGTGATCCGAGATGATGGAGGGGTACCACATGATAATTATGTAAGCTCTCCCACACTCGTCATTGTCGATGCCTGAATTTCTGCCTTGTAATCATTAGAGCTCTTTCAAGAAAAAGTTCAGTCGCATCAACCTCGAAAGTATTTTTGACCATCAGTTTTGAAGGCTCGCAACCACCCACCACCAATTCCTCTGATCCGACATTCTTTCATTCGCATATACTGATACTACTTCATCCTCTCAGTGCTATCATATTATAGAAAAAAATGTCGTCTTTTGCGCTGGAGAAGGAATCGCCTTTGGGCTTCCTTTACAATAATGCTGCCGCCGGGGCTTTGTCAAATGCATACAACACTTTCCAAGAGAAGAGGGAAGCGCTGGGTCTCTCAAACCCTGGAACAGTTGAGAACATTGCAAGAGAAGTCCAACGCGATGTATTTCTCAACAACTACACATTCTCTGGTCTGAGAGCAGATCTTACCAAGCCTTTCAGCATGGCACCTTTATTCCAAGTCTCCCACGCATTTTCTATGGGATCCCAAGGCTTACCCCCATATACATTTGGAGCGTTGTTCGGCACAAGCAAGGTCAGTAATGATTTGATGGAGATGTTACCATCAATCTATACGAGGGTCCCACTATAATTCTTGGGAAAGAAGCTGACAATGCGATTGACAGATCTTTATGCAAGGAAACATGGACAATGAAGGGCAGCTTACCACTAGATTCAATTACAGATGGACCCCAGCTTTCGTTACCAAGACACAACTTCAAGTCGCCCCCGGTCAAGCTATGATGCAATTAGACAACGAGTATACCGGACAAGATTTCACAGCTTCAATCAAATCTCTCAACCCTTCGATACTTGACGGAGGATTTACCGGTATTTTCATTGGTCAATATTTACAAGCTGTCACTCCAAACCTTGCTTTGGGTCTGGAGGCTGTCTGGCAACGAGCAGCAATGAATCAAGGACCCGAAACTGCGGTATCGTATTGTGCTAAATACAAGGGTAGCGATTGGATTGCCAGTGCTCAATTACAAGCGCAAGGAGCCGTAAACACATCGTTCTGGAGAAGATTGACAGATAAGGTCGAAGCTGGTGTGGATCTCAACTTGCAATTCGCGGGGTTGTCTGGAGCTGGAATGATGGGAGGACCAATTAGAAAAGAGGGTGTCACAACTGTTGGTGCTAAGTATGACTTCAGAATGTCTACTTTCAGAGCTCAAGTTGATTCAACTGGAAAGTTGAGCTGCTTGTTAGAGAAGAGAGTTGCACCACCCGTGCAGCTCACTTTTGCAGCTGAGATGGACCATTTCAAGGTATTTTGTCCCTCATTTGATACTTATTAGGTTCTTACTAATAAATTTTATAGCAAGCAGCAAAGATTGGAGTAGCAGTTTCCATCGAATCTGGCGATGAAGCGGTCGAAGAACAAGCAATGGCAGTCGGAGGTGCCCCACCTCAAATCCCATTTTAAACACATGGGGTTCGACACAATGCTTTCCAAAGCACATCCTCCACTCCCAAAATTAATCGAATTTTAATGCCATAACATAAAAACCTTTACGAACAAGAACATGTACACCGAATATCCACCTACCTTATCCACTTAACGGACTCATTTCTGCTATGCCAGACCTTCATGAAATGCTTCTTCACTTTCTTTCGAGATGTTTTACTACAACCATGAACCTCGTTTTGTTCTACCGCCGGAAGAAGAGGTACATTTCTGCATGCGTGTCCGAACCAAAAGATGATGATCCAACCTTTTCCTTTTCTTCTATCATATCATAGACTTTCTTTATACCTCATGTTCTCGGGACCCTGCGTTGTTGGAGCCGCATATCTGGAATTTGGTTTGGAATGGAAAGCATTGCGAGTGCTTTTGTTTAAGATAGCGGATAGGTTGATGCAAAACTTGGGCATGGATGATGCATGAGATATCATGAGGGAGATGTTATATGAGGATGAGTACTTCTGTATTATAGTGATTCGGTTTTGCAGCGACGACGATGGGAGGGAGGCATGATAGTATTTGTCACTGTAGATACCTAGCTGTGTATAAAAGACAGGATATGATTGAATATCCATGAAAACGAAGTTCTTACAATATAATCAACACAATTGAAGTGAATTGAGCTGAAATATGAATGGGTTGTTGTTGATGAGGCATCAATTCTAAATTCAGGCATGAATAAATTCAACCCGCTTCAACCCGTGCACCCGAAGTGAATTTTCTCGCAAACCTTTCTTTATGATTGGTCAACTGAATGCATCGATTGACTAATCTTTGATCTACCACTTATCTTGATAATCTTAGCTGAAGCTAAAGCAAGGACAATCACGAACCGCATTTTCGTCCTCCAACCTTTGAGAACTCATACAACCACAGACATTTGGTATTGATAGATTTCGTGCTTCCCATCAAAGCATACGGCGGGCGGTTGAAAAGAGTTCATTGCACAAGATTACCGACCGATATCTGAAACTACCAAGCGCCGAGAAGTTTTGAAAGGAAGTCCGGGTATATCCACGAGAGCAACTGGTGGAGTAACTAGAGGCTGCGTGAGACAAATATTGAACAAAGCTTTGCCTCAATACTTTAACCAGAGCGAATCCACCAACGCGTGTACGGCTCATTGCACTTGCTCGTCTCTATTCTTCCGGGAACACGAGAATTTAAAAGGTGCTTTGTACAAGGAAAGGTAATCTCGATATTACACAATATACGGGATTTGATATTGGAGTCACGGGATCACCAAAGGAAAGAAAAGACTAGCCAGGAGCAGAGGAAGAAAGAATTAGAAGTTACTGTGAAGCTACAGTGCATTCACTTCATCGGTCCAATTCCAGGATATTTGAGGTTTTTGGCTCAAGACCAATCGTTACAGATTTAGATTGAAGGGTTGCTTTTCCAAGAACTACCTTGTTGGGAAATCTGGAGAGATGGATACTTTATTGTGAGTGGTTATAGTTTTTCTGGTTATTCACTTTTACCCCCTCGTTTAAGATTTAGGTAGCCTTGAGATGATTTTGGTGCACCATTCCTCTTTCCTAATTCACTCCTTCAACCCTGGACTTTCCTTCGACAGCAATTGAAAGTTACAATGGCCTCCTCTTCTCACTCACAGTCACCACTACTATTTTCTCCCAACGCTCTATTAGCACTATCATGGCGAGACTGGAGCTCGCCGATACCTTGTCTACTGATACTGACCATGAGCTTAGAACTGCGGAAATTGCGGCCAATTCTCCTCGTTTTCGTCGAAGATCTTCGACTTTCATCGATGGAGTCCATGATTTGCCAGATGAGAAGGCCACTATGGCACCGGCTCAATTGTATTCAACTGAGTCAGGTAGACTTTTCCATTCTGGAAGAATCGCTATCGTCCTAGTTGGTCTTCCTGCCCGTGGCAAAACGTGAGCCATTCCTTCAGATGAGGTTTTAGATGCAGTTTCACTGATTGATTACTCTTGCGCAGACACATCTCTGTATCTCTTTCGCGTTATTTACAATGGTAAGTTTTTATCTAATGCTGAATATCGCTTCTCTGCTAATTCTTTCCAGGTTGGGTGTTAAGACAAGAATCTTCCATCTAGGAGACTATCGTCGTGCTACAATGGGTCCAGGTCAGGATGTCCCTGATGACTATTTCTTTATCAATGCATCTGCTGCTTCAGTTATGCTTAGACAAAAGATTCTCAAGAAGTGCCGTGAAGATATTTATGCCTGGCTCAATCATGAAAATGGTCAAGTTGCTATCTATGATGCTGTCAACCCACTTTCTGGTGGTCGCAGATCTCTGGCAAAAGAATTTGCTAAACATGATGTTCAGGTATGGCTTAAAACAACAATTTCATTCTCAATTTTACAGTGGCTAATTCTCATTTTAGACGTTGTTCCTTGAATCATATGTTACGGATGAAAAGATACTTCAGGAGAATGCTCGAAGTGTCAAAATATCATCTCCAGATGTAAACCTCCCTTCAGAGTGTTGGAAGTACCAGGATGATGCTAAGATACCACAATCGCAGTTTGTTGGCATGGATCCTGAGGATGCTGCCAAACTTTATCTCAAGAGGATTGACATGAAAATTCCTCATTTCGAAACTATGACTGAACCTGACCTTAACTATGTTAAAATGATCAACGCTGGCGAGCGCATCGATTATAACAATGTCAGTTTTGGCTACCTTTCCCATCGGATCGTCTTCTACCTCATGAATCTACATATTAAATCCCGTCAAACATTTTTCGCTCGTGCAGGCACATCTAGTCTTGATGATTCCTACAAAGCCGATGCATCACTCTCTGATGAAGGCCGAGAATACGCGAAGAAAATGTCTGATGCATTACTCAAACATCGTGAAGAGGAAAGAGCGGCTTCTATCGCAGCAGGTGGTTCTGATGCACCTCTTAAGCCTCTAACAGTGTGGTCTTCGACTAGAAAGAGAACGGTAGAGACCGCAGAGTATCTTAAAGGAAAGGGATTTAGAGTTAGACAGAGAAGTCAAATGAGTCAGCTGAATCCGGGAATTTGTGAGAAGTTGAGTGAGAAGGCGATGAAGAGACTGTATCCCGACGAGGTTAGGATGCATGAGTTGGATCCTTATCATCATAGATACCCGCGTGCTGAGGTATGTATTTGCTCCCCTTACCATATGCTCCTTGCCCTGTGACTTGGGAATTCCACCTTCAAACATTTTTGGTACTCCGCACCCTTTGATAAGCAAAGAAGCTAACAAGAGCGATAGTCATACCACGATCTCGCAGTCCGCATGGAACCAATCATTCTCGAGCTCGAGAGAGAACAAAATGACTTACTGATTATTGCTCATGAGTCTGTTTTGAGGGTTCTTTATGGTTATCTTATGGCTTGTGATGCTATGAATATTCCTACGCTCAAGTTCCCTAGAAATGAAATTATTGAGGTATGCATTCGTCATTCTTCTCGTATTCCTCCTCTCCCCACCATTTCCTTGCTCTTTTTTACCCCCATCCCCTCTGCTCCCTTCTCATAGTTTACAACAATACCTACGACAATTCCACAGATATACTAATCTTCGCATATAGATCATTCCCGCCTCCTACCAAAACGAAGCAAAACGCATCCACATCGATGGACTCGCACCCGAAATTATTCCGGGCTCCCCAGAAGATATTAGAATTCCTGTTCCACCATCTACTGCTCCTTCGGGCGTTCAAAGTCCCTTTTCGGGGATCGGAACGCCAGCTTTGGGAGGCAGTGGGGTGGCTACACCTGCCGGGGAGAAGATTGGAGGAGAGAAAGGGGAGGTGAAAGGAATCAATCCTCTGTCGCAAGATTAGGGGCGAGAGACTTTTTGGGAGATGTAGGAAGGGGGAGATGACGAGGGGGAAAATTGGAAACGGAGGAGATTGATCGTTCGAGATAGGATGAGATGAAAATGATACGCCAGGAACGCAGAGAGGCATGCGAATGTCGGAAATGGACATGAATATAAATATAAGAAGAGCTTTTCTTCACCTCATCTATCGTTACGTCGTGTTATACTGCAATATGCTTGATTTTATATTCTAGCCCGTGCCAGCTAGAATTGAATAGCGAGCACTGAGTTCTTGAGATTCATCGGATAATTTCCATCTATGATTCGTATTCTACGAGCCATAGGAGTAGGAGCAGGTGCTCGGGGCGTCGCTAAGGTCACGCAGCCAGTGTTCGCGTCTTTAATTCCCGTTCATGCAATCGATTTTGGTGCTGTTGGGCAACGAAGAAAATACTGCTAGAATTCTGAAATACGATACACAAGCATCGATGTTTCTCTACACTGTAGCAAAGCTATAAAAGTTTGAGAGATAAGAAGTGAAGATTCACACGTTAATGTCCGAGAATGGATGCGCGAAGAAGACAATTATTTAAATATTAATTTGATTCGCATCTCCAGAATGAGATTTATCTATCAGTGTGAATATAAAGCTCTCAAGCATCATGTCCATCGTGGAAAAGCCAGATCGGCATGCACAGAATTTCAAACAAAACAGCTGGGATTCGAAGAAAATCTGCTTTCTCCGGGTTTGTTGATCCTTCGTCAAAGTTTTGATGAGTGGCCAGTCTTCGAATTGCAATAGTCGCAAGAAAGGCAACGAGCTTAATGATGTAGAGATTGATATACACCTTCAACTGAGAATGCGATCTAAAGCAAAGACTCTCATGTGGTTTCTCGACACCACCCAAAGTTCAAAAATGACAATCGACGTTCCACTATCATCGAATGGCATTACCCCCCTTGTTTTCTCATTGAACTGAAAATCTTTCGTTTCCTGCCTCAATTTCGTGCCTTCATCAGACGGGGACTAATTCCTTTCGTATCTCTAATGTGTCTAGTCAATTCGAATGTCTCGAAGGAGCGGAGCCTAATAACCCATCCCACACTGTTTTTAATTCAGTTCTCATGAGATACAACGTCACAGCGATAAAACCCCAGCAGAATCTCACTATTCTCACTGGTCTCGCGGTGTCAAAGGGCCTGCACCTGGACCCAGAATCCGTTTTCTTTCACTTCGACGTCCCGCATCGAAAAATCTAAATCCCACCCAGAGCAGTTCCCAAACGGTTGCCGACACCAGCAATATCCCAACAATTGGATATATAAGTAGTTCGAGGACTCCATTACATTCTTCAGGATTCGAGTGTGCTTTGCATGGCCATCGGTGTACAAATCGCATACATTTCATGATAAAATCGGGATGATGTCTCGCGGTTATAAGGAAAATATAGGCTAGCATTCCTGAAAATGGCATGTTGAATTCTTAGGTTTCTTGAGTGGAGCTCTGTCTTTCGTCGTATGTGGAGTTGTTTTTAATAGAACAGCGAGGAAGGAATAATTCAAGTTTGATGGATTTTTTTAACAAGTATTGTATTGTACTGTGTCTTGTGATGGTGAAGGATGAAAGTCAAGAGTGACGGGCATGTGACAGATTTTATCTTTCCTTATCAGATTAAACACACTGAGACTAGGTCTAGTGCTAGGCTAGCACGGATTTCCAACTTCTTGGAGGCCAAGCTTCGATGGACAAGTTTAGTTTTATGGAGCATCTCTTTAGTTTTATTGTCTGGAAGAATTTGGTGTTTGGTGCTCATCCAATAAACATAAGTTCGAGAAGTCAAATGGGCGTACATAGTCGTAACGTACTCTCGTGATTCGTCAAAATGATTGAGTCAGGTAAAGAAGTGGATACTTTACCAGAACTTTCTCCTCTAGTCTTCGAATATACAAGAGAAGTATTGGAGTTGGATGGTGGATGCAGTCATTCAGAAAACGAATGTAGCTAAAGTAAAGAGTATTTTCAGGAAAAAATGCTCATCTCATGATTGACAAGTCAAGTAGCTATTACTATGTGACATAAACTTCGTTGATTTCGGGTGGATATTACGAGATCATCTAAATAAGACCAATGACGGTCTTCCACTTCATTTGATCTTGAGGATATAATGAATACTGTTACTGAGAAGATACTGTTTTGTTAAATTCCTACTGATCGAACCATTTCATCTACACTATCTACCACTGCATAATTGGTGTTTCCCGAGAATCTTAATAACTAGCGTAAGCCACAAAAATACAGACGTGCAACAAATACATGGAATTACATACCTGGAAGCGGGTACAGGTATAGTGTTTCTTAGGTGTTCTCTTGTGATAGGTCAGCCCTCGTTCTCTTGGTTCGTTTCTTTTACCTCACACCAAGTGAACTAAATCCAAACCCGGGATATTCTTACCGTGCTCTGATGTTGGCTAAAAAACTTAGTTCTCACAGCCTATCTCACTACAATTAGATTCTCAAATATTAATTTCTTACTTCCAGATGAGTATATCACCAAATTGAGTTATATCCTATCATTATTCACCATGCCGTAGATAATTTTTGAGACAAGTAAGAGATGTTTGAATAGACAGCTTAACAAATCGTAGATGAAGATTAGATGAGCTCCAAATTTTCTCATTCCTACATGAGCTTTCACTAGATAAATGTCATAAGTGAACAGAATACACAAGTGTCTTCGAACTGCACCAATCACTACAACTAACTCACATTGTACCAACCAGTCTTCTCCTTCCAAACAGATCCGTGAACGCGGGAAGTTCAGATATGCAACAGAACAAACTTCGTGCTTCTCTGGAATATCATTGGGGGATTTTATACACCGTTTATATACTAAAGGTTGCGAGTACGTCTTAAATGAAAGTTATGTCATTGTGCATGAAGCTTAGATTTGCAACAAAAGAATCTCTATGTTTCTATGTAATATTACTGGAAGAATTGTATAGACTACTTAATTACCAAAGCTAAAAGTACATCTTAAATGATAAGTTATGTCATTATGCATGATGTTTAGATGTGCAACAAAAGGATTTCTATGTTTCTATGGGATGTTATTGGAGAATTACAATGAATTAGCCTGATTGATGCTCTTCTTCTAACTCCTTAGAGATAGTCCTTAATCATACCATGAGTGTCTAGGAGAGATCTCCCACTTGAGCCAATTTTGTGTCATGTTAAAGTTTCTTCCTTTCGTCATATCCTCATGCTTGAACTACTTACTACTGTTTAAAGCAGCAATACCCTCCTTGCAATACGATGAGTCTCGAAACACTTCAAAAGTAGATTTTCGTTTCGTCGCGCATCTCAAAAACTACATAGATGGATGACATGATTGATGAAGGTGTTATTTCTTAATTCCTGATTTTTGCACATCTTCAATTATCTAAATCTTGAAATTCAAGACGCACAGTACAAATATGATTTCAAAATATCTCGTGATTTAGTATCAGGATAAAAGAAGATTATCGAAGGTTGTAGAAGCGGCCATAGTCCTTCCAACCAAGTTTAGATAGGGTGGTCCATCATGAAGATTGATCATATGAATGAATCTTATGATATACTCACCCGAACCTTATTTCATCATGCTCATATTTTTTTTAAATTTGGAGGTGATTACTCCAAATAAGTATTTTAGGCAATACATTGAAACAAAGTAAATGATACATTAGGAATGTAGGTGCAACTCAATCTCCCATCAGTTTAAATTCACCACCATTTCCTTCAATATCCCTTATGTTTCGCTGGCTACCATGACCATTGAAACTCCCTACCCCAAAGAGCAATACCTACAATTTGCGAACTATAGAGCATTCGAGGAACCTTAACCCTTGATAACTTGACCTCCAAGTGATATAGTAAAGAGTTAGACAAGAACGAAAGATTTCGAACAGCCAATAACAAAAAAACTGACCTCCAAACCATATTTATGTTGCATATCGTCGGAGGATTCTCGCCGGCCAAGAAGAATACAAGAAAGCCAAATTTTCACCCGCCCAAACTCAAAGCATAAAAACAAGATCAAAACACTAATTCAAAGTCACAGAAATATATCCAACCAACCCCAATCCGCGAATCTCAAATCCATCCAATTGTTGCACATCTCCGGAGAAATCTCCGGGAGCGGTCCCCTTGGTCAAGAATCAAGCATCCACTATCAACCACCATCACCCAACCAACCCCTCCCCCAAACCCCCAAAATCCTCACTCCAATCAAATCAAACCACGAAATTCTCCCCGATCATAACAAATCCCAAACCCCCCACATCACATACCCAATAATCATCATAAATCCCACTAACACCTTGCACTAAACAAAGAACCTCGCTAGTTCTCGTTAGTCCCTTCTCGCGAAAACTAGCGAGAACTCAAAAAATCGATCTATAGAAACCCGTTAAACGTCACTTTTCCCACTTTAAAATTCCCGGAAATAAATACGTTGTCTGATGAAATATTATTACCGATGATCTAATCACTTTACCTTGATGTCTTGGCTTTCGTTCACGATGAAGAAATCAGTTTTATAGATGTGGAAGGGGTTAGAATTATTAATATCATGCATCTAAGATTATATCCATTTACTAAAGTCGCATAGTTCATATCTACCCCTAATAACGATACTCAATTGAGCAAATCCTCACCGCAGTAATTCCAATCTCGATAATAAATTCCCTACTAATTGATTCCTCCTTATTGATTCACTCGCTCATCACTACCACCTCCATAATTATTTCCAATTCAGAAAACTGTCCTAAACCAAGATCACTTTAAGTTTTTGAAATACCAAGACCGTGAAAAAACATATCATCAATAGCAGACACTGAAAAAACACGATATGCAACAAAAATCTCCATATACAATTCCCCTCCAATAGCAAAAACGAAATCGAAAAGAGAGTTCAACTTACAGTACTGCCAAGGCCTATGAACTACTATCAATAGAAAACATGGGAAGAATGCGATATGCAACAAAACTCTCCACATACATTTCCTATCCAGTTAAATAAAAGGAAATAAAAAAGCAGAAGGGGATAGAAACCACGAGAATAACACGACATGCAACAAAACTCTCCAGATACAATTCTCATCCAATTAAATAACAGTCAATAGAAAAGTAGAAGGTGATAGAAGACACGGGAAGAATGCGATATGCAACAAAACTCCCCACATACAATTCCTATCCAGTAGAATGAGAGGAATTGAAAGAACGAAGAGTAGATGATTCATTATAAAGATCTTAACAAATCTGTCAATTACATCCTGTAAGATCTTCGTATTCCTATAGAACACTATTGTTGTCTAAGAACCATGATACTTCATCAGACGCAAAAGATATGCCTGGTGAATTCCTTCAGTATCAAAAAGTCTCATCTTATGGAATCACCCAATATCTCAACGCGTGCTGTCCCATCTCAAAACATCACAACACCAATCACCATTCACTCAATACCAACAAACAAGTCTCAAAGAATGTGTTCGAAAACGCTATATATGTGTAATGCTGTATCATTTCTATCATACCCAGCCCCAAAGTTCTATACCCAACCCTGTCCTCTCTATCTATAATCTCATCCTGGCCTCTAATCCCTTTCCCTTAATGAGGTTGAATTTTATGAGCACGCAATAGGTCTCCCCAGTATGAATTCGATCATTGATACTGATTTCCCACGCCCTAACATTTTTGCACATTGTGCTTTTAACCTATCTGATTCGACCCTCTAAAAAATCGCATCCTATGGGAGGCTGCCGAATTCTCTTATATTTCCTCACTAATAACGACCGTAACCCCATTCGAAAACCGAAGCCCATACCCGTATCCACATACCCTGACCATAACCATAATGAATGGTATCAGAATGTACCTCTCAAACGCCGTCACCAATGTATGAGGATCGACCATAATGTAGGTCTCCTCCAAAATTATAAAAACTTTCTCGGTGTATCCAGACGCCTTGAAAATTCCTTTACTCAACTCTCTTCACATAATATTACAAACCCTATCTGAGTGATCCGAATTTTTGTCCTTATCTTTAGCATCCATGTCCGTGGTTTCCTTGCTTCGCCTCTTACCCTTCTTACTGCCTTTGCGGGAAATTCCACCAGTTGCTTCAGCAGGTTTCGCAAGATCTCCATTATTACTAGGGTCGACAGGACCATCTAATCCTAGAGCAGGCAGAGCAGGTACAGCAGGTATAGATTCTTTACTCGTGTCTGGCTTTTGTAAAGACTCTTTGCTTGCCCTTGATATCAAGTCTTTAAAGTATGACCTGCGGTTTTCGGTCTTTTCGTTCGAGGAACTTTGTGGTCGACTTCGAGATGCCTTGCTCCTCCGAAATGTTCTCGAAGTTCTGGCACTGACCGGCTCCTCACCTGGCGTAGCAGGAGCTGATTCGTTGTCTGATTTTTCAACGCTGACACTACTCGCATCTGTGGCCGCAACGCTTCCTCTTCTATCTTCATCAGGAAGATTAAGACTTCTACGGGATCGATCAATGTCGGATGAAAATCTGACAACAGAGTTCGAACGATCGTTCGGTGGCGGGGTAAAATATCCTTCGTCATCGCCGCTGCCACTGTTTAAATCTGGGCTTGCCTTGGAAATCTGCACATCTATACTTGGAACAGAAGAATATGTGTACGATGGAGGTGTCGTGTTGTCGGAAAATCTTGCCAAATCTTCTGGGGAAAGGTTCGCCAGAATAGGAACAAATTCATACCACAAAGTGACTGGCATTCCGTATTTACTGTCCTGCTTCAGAGCTGCATCAATGTCTACTTTGGCTACTCGCCCCCCCCTTGCAATGTCATCGTGGACTATCCAGCAGTCATCAACATAAGCTGGTGGATGTTGACCATCTTTCGGTTGTACAGAATCCAAGTCACCATTGGTCTCCACATCTAAGCGAATTAGCGATCTATAATGTCCACTTTCGAGTGATCCTTCGTGGCAAATCATCGATCGAAGTACTAGCTCGAAACAATCCGAGATTGCTATCTCGTTTGAACCTTCATATTCATGGACCAAGTGTGGTGGTAGTTTCATTTTCTTTGGGATATCAACATGGGTGTTATTCTTTTTCAGAATTTCTTTGCCGTCTGGTCCCTCCACATTGTGATATCTTTTCAGATCAAATCCTAGCATTGGATGATGGTTTTGTTTGATCCGTTCAACGAATTCACGATTGTTTGCCGGAGCGGGTTTGGAAAACCAAACTATATCACCAATTAGTACAGGTACAGTCTTAAGTGGAGCAATATTTGAATTTAAATGGCAAGAAATAGGAGACCAACTACTGGACGGACGAATCAGCTTAGATAATATGAACGCGTCGACTTCTCTCTCTTTACGAGTAGACATGCGACTCGTCGTACGGTTTAATGACCCTCCATCATGTGCGACCTCCCGAGTGAGATGGTTCTGGAAAGATGGCTCGCCATTCATCTCCATGTGGCCTGGAGATACAGCGTCCGGTTCGGCTTCCGTGTTCTCGACATATTCCGAAGTTGGCCTTTTGTCAGTATTAGGTTCGGCTTCTGTGGTCTCCACGTGTTCTGGGACTGGTTTTTCGTCATCATCGTCGGGTTCGACGCGTCTCTGAATCTTGACTAAAGACAACAAGGACCGTTCTATACATTCTTCGAGCCGCAAACGACCTGGCCCCTCATGATCGGTTGAAATGGAGATTGGAAGCGTTCGCTCTTTCGAGGTTCTATGATCATCTTTTTCGCGGATGCCACCATGTTCATAATCAACTCTCAAGTCAAGCATTGGCCAATCAAGAATGTCTCCAATCTTCATGTGTGCTTCAGTTGGGTCTTGTTCTTTTTTTTTGTCCAAGTCGTCCCAGCCGCATTCGATCAAACTATCCAGGATACGTTCGGTCTGTTTGGAATTAGCAAGTTGAAAAAGTATGTGGAAGGCAAAACTAACAATGTTCACTTCAATCAAGATGCCCGATCTCATGAGGTTTACCCATAATCGAATTAGTTGGATCAGGTTTTGTTTGAGAGGATCTTCGTAGAAGTTGTTGAGTAGTTCTTGAAATTGAGTAGGGACTGTAAACAATGAAGCCAGAAAAGAATCCAGCCAACAGGTAACTCCACGAGAATTCTGTGCTCCGAGCATTGTTATTTTTGGATCATATGGATATATGACCCCGGAAAGTGAGTTATGGAACACTAGCAAGATTTGATGTGCTTTCTCGACATTTCCATTGGCATAAATTGAATTCAGACAAAACAGAATTTGATCGTCTTTCACATCATTGTGTCCATCGGATTCCAACAAGCTTCTGATCCGAGAAATCTATTGTTCCATTAGCAAAGCTGTCCAGGTAGTTGTGAACTAGTCCAACCTTTTCCTGATCTTCATCTTGTTCCTTCTCCGACTTCGAATTTCTAATATAAACAAACAACGAGGTAAAAATGTCGGAAACTGATCGACTCTAGGATAAGCAAGAATAACAAGTTAGTAATGGTGAATTCAAGATTCTGTCATCGTGTCATCATTGCATCGGAAATGCGCCGCGGAGAAAGAGGCTTTATGAGTAACTGCCAACCTTCCCCTCCCCGAATGCCAGGAAGATCAAGTAAGGAGATATGGATGTCGCAGGCGCATTACCTTCTTCTCGGTAGACTTCTCGGCCGACTTGATGTCTCTTGATTTATCTCGTTTGTGTGAAGTCTCCTTGTCCTTATCCTTATCCTTTCTGCCGCCAAATTTATTCATGATGAAGGATGTGTTCGTGATGCTTCCTCAGAGGCCCGTCTGTGAATATTATTGTTGTAAAGAGATCGGTCAAATGATTGGAATAATAGGACCCTGAGTTTTGATTGTTGATTCGAATTGTGTACGAGTAGAAATGGGGTACGATTCAACGTTGGGAAGGATTGGTAAACTCCATATTCCGAAGAGGAAGTGAATGAATGATTGATTGCTCTTTGGAACCGTTCGCAGATGAGTCCGAGGCGTCTTATTAAACTTTAAAGAGTGTGAAATTGGTGAGTGACTGTTTTTGTATTATATTTTGAGTGTATGTAGAGGAAGTTTGAAGCAAAAGCGGGTGTTGTTGTGGTTATGGTTGTAGTTGTTGTTTCTTCATTTCATCGAGTGGTTACCACGACCTACCTACTAGGTAATCTCGACTCCACACCTGTTGTAGTTCGCTCGTTCGTACTGCGTAGAATCTTGGTGATCCTTCCCTCGGTGCAGAATGGAACTTTCTCCGAACTTTTTTTAGAAGGGTTGGACGATAAATGATAATGCTAATCCCTGCTGCATGACACGTGCATGGGGTTTGGGAACTATTCAAGCATCCGTCGACCAATCAAGAAACGTGCGCACTGGCTTGTTCCCTCTTGGATGTAATTCAGAATGTCTTAGATAAGCAAGATTTACTTCGGAGATCTTGTTGCCTGATACGCAAAAAATAAGGCACCTCTCGAGATATTTTTTGATATTGCTCTTGGGAGGGTTGATCAAAAGATCCCTCGATATACCCAAACGACATGGCTTTGCGAGAATTACCGTCGACTTTATGTCAATTCTCGAGGAGGGAAATAAGATCAACACCAATAGCGATAGGGAGGAATTGTCGCAGATATGCATCTGGAGAAGCTGTTGCCGCAAAAGAGAGTCCAGAAGATTTCCAGGACCTCGAATCGCAATCTTCATTTGCTTCAACATCTGTACCAAATGAAGTCATTGAGACTTATGACCCTGTAAAGAGGGCACAAGGGCGGAAGAGAGAACTTCCTTCCAGTCGGTATGATTGCAACAGATCCAGATCCCAAGTGAGAGAGGGGCAATGCTTATACCTTTTATAGATACCAATTTCGATCACCGAGATACTATCGAGGTCCTCTTCATCCTCATCAACCTCCACCAAAATCAGATCCATCCTCTCGAGAATTCGTTCCGGGTCCATTTGGTCCCAATCGTCTCGAACAAACCTATAAATCAACCATCTCCCACGACATCATGACCATGGCATACGTTCACAAACCACCTGGAACCGTCACAATTCCTAAAGGCGATCGTTTAAGAACATGGGACGATTCATCACCATACCATAAAGGCAGACCAAAGAGAGGTCCTCGTGGTGGAGATGTTTTACGTCTCATCGAACAAGACATTACTTGGCGCAACATTCCTAAGATCGAAGAAGTCACTGTTCATTCGATGGTTAAGGGTGCACTTGGAGATTCCGCATACATGCATGTCGCTGGTATTTTACTACAATCAATTACGGGCGTCAGACCGGAAATTCACAAATCAACACATAACGTCGCACAATTCGGTATTCGAAAGGGCATGCCAGTTTCTTTAACTTGTACTATGAGAAATAACGATGCATTGGAATTCCTCGATAAGTGTATCAATGTGGTATTCCCAAAAATTAAGGATTGGCAAGGTGTAAAGGGTGAGTCTCTTCGGTAGATATGTGGTAGAAGGAATGCTAATTTGGATAGGCTCAACTGGAGATGGAAGTGGAAACTTGTCATTTGGTTTTAATAGAGAAGGAACTATTTTATTCCCGGAAGTTCAGGTCAACTATGATGTAAGTTTTACATTGATAATTTGCATGCACATTGAAAAGCTAACATAATTTTCTAGATGTATCCACCTAGGTTGATTCCTGGATTCCACGTTACAGTCAAAACCACCGCAACATCCGATCGTCATGCCAGACTTTTGCTTAGCGCTATGGGTGTTCCTTTCTACGGAAAGTTAGTTGATTAAATTTGATCTTTCACAAATAAAGTGTATAAGACGATATAAATCATGTGTAAATATAGCATGTAACACAAAATCATCATGTGTAGCACATCTGACCTCAAGTTTTATTTTTTGAATCGCGCGAATTGTCGTTTATAAGCGCGATAAGGTTATGTACTAGCGAAAGATATCGAATCTGTTACTTGGTTGACAACCCCTCAGATTCTCTGAGAGTACAAAGATGTGAATGAACCCAGCCTCAAGCCTTTGCGCCATCTCTTTACCATTCCTGAATCTTCACCTATCACTGGCCTTCAACCTTCAAACATCAACTCCTATGTTTCGGAGCGTAGCGAAAGAAACTTGTGCGTCGGATTTTATGGAATTTTTATATATCGTTTATTGATTATATTTCTATACCCAGGAATTCAATTTGTGTGTGGTTATATGATCTGTATATAGTTATATAATATTTTTTTATTATAGGTTCAATTATATGAAGAATTGAAAAATAAAGAATTAAAAAACAAAGAATAAACTTTATCTTTTATTCTTTTTATTCTTTTTATTCTTTTTATTCTTTTTATTCTTTTTATTCTTTTTATTCTTTTTATTCTTTTTATTCTTTTATTCTTTTTATTCTTTTTATTCTTTTTATTCTTTTTATTCTTTTTATTCTTTTTGAAATTTTAATTAATCTAAAGAATTATAAGAATTATAATAGAAAATATTAGGCGCACCGAAACACTGACGAGCTGGCTCGCCCCGAATTTTCCTAGCCATACTCCCGTATCATTCGGCCTCCATATTAACGAAATGAAAGATACACTCAACACACAGACTCCATTCCATACTTAATATCGAATACTAAGTAAGATTTTGAATCGAATTTCCAGGAGAAGTCTCTGGCACCTAGTGATTTACTTTAAATTCTACCCAAATACAGATTCGAAATTTTTTAAAACTCAGAGATATCACTCTTCCCAATATATAATTCTGCATCAGCGATTTAGTTGTATGCCGATTTCTACATCTACAGGTTATGCAGTCAATAACTCTCCGGCACTCATGTACTGTCCCTCCCGCTATATCCACATTACGTCAACTCTTCGCTCAAGTTCACTCCCTAATCATAATCACTGTACTCCTCACACCAGCTAACCGAGATCTTTCCCAAGACTCAGATATAAAAAGCTTCTAGCATACGAACTTGAGCTCTTTATCCTTCCAGCAAGAAGCGACTAGTCTCAGAAAATAATGTCCTTCCTTTGAGGATCTCGGGCGTGATTTTAAACGAGTTCTTGATCGTGTTTTGGATGGGGTTTAGGCTTGAGTTTGCATATTGGGTATTTTTCGTTTTTCGTTTTGAGTTTATTGTTGTTGATGTTCGTCTTTGCTTCTTGTTGTTGTCGTCGTTGTATGGGTTATATGAATATCGGCGATCTGGTCTATTCTTCCTGAATAGTTTGACAGCAATAATCCTCAACACTTTTCTTCTTACTCAGAAACGTGCAATGCACTATAACTCCATAGTCATCCATCCTCCATCTCGTGAAGATAAAACTGCTTCAATGTCACAGTTTACCTCACTGATTCCCCAATTCCTGTGTGAAACAGTTACTGAGAAGACGTACACAGTGAGGTCAAAAGTTTTTATATACCCCTCGTATGGAAACTAGACGGTATTGAATATTTTGCATTGATTTTCCTGATGATTCGTAGAATGCATTTTCTTCACTTTTCTCTAGCCATGTCCGAATCCACTTCTTCTCTCATCCACCCGACTCCATAAAGCGGGCTCCTAAGTCTTTTCCCCTTATCGACATATAAATTTGTTTGTCTAGGAGTTTGATCAAGACGAATTCGAACACATTTTGCAGAAGAGATACAAAAGAGGGAGAGGATCCCTAGTCAGCTTCCCTCCTATTTTCTCTTGATTTGCACCCGCTATAGTAGAACAAATTTTTCTAGGTGTTTTGATGCATAACTTCATGAAACATCGTCAGCTATGGACAGTATTCGATTACCAACTACAATAATTGAAGCATGAACAGCAAAATCATCAATCGATGATAAGAAAAAGATGAGTAGCACCGGAAACATACAGCATCATATCTTACCATTCCCAATATTAATTATATCTGGATTCTCATTAGACGTCAGACGCATCAGTCGTCCTTACGAAATCTTGCTCCCACATCAACCTTCCTTGTCGCATGGTTTCATAAAGATACAGAGCACATGTCTGTAACTCAAGACCTTTTATATATCTCTTTTGGGGCCAAGGAATAGAGGTTTTGAGTAGGTGAGTGGAAGACTTGTTTGTGATGTTGGATAATTCACTCTACATAGACATAAACTCCTGCAGTCATTCAACACGGCTTTTGGACTATGTAGTCATATCGCTCTCTCAAATATGCACAGTGACTCACTCGTTGCGCTCGAGCTCGCTTGTCGGAGCTTTGATGTAGATGTTATATAAACGAGGACTGAATTATAATGAAACAGCAATTGTTCGAAGAACACGAGCAACAAAGAGCTTGAAGCCAGTTCCATGCTTCATTATCTACAGGATGAATCCTATGGCTCGTTTCTAAAGACCTCATCTGGAGTAAATTCTTTCGGGGTTTCGAATTGAAATACCGTTGGCATTGCTGCTCATATAAACCTCAGTATTGCAAAATAGTCATTCAACGACAATTTAACACCGTGAACAACAGTCATAAAATAAATGACAAGAAATGGTACCTCCTTGTCGTTTCTTTTGATTATCCTAAACTCCCGAGTTCAACTTATGGCTAAGTCAAGTCCGTGGAAAGCCGCTCATATACCGGTCATTTGGTAGATTCGTTTCCACGAATCGACATGAAAACGCAATTTGGTCGAATGTGCAGAGCGTACAGAAGGCGATATGGAAGGTGATATGAAAGCATTATATACCCTTCTCGTGTGTAAAATAATGAGGAAGCGGGTAATTTGTAAAAGGAGAGTGGTGAATCGGTGCGGGATTTCTAAGCAGGCAATGAATTGGAGAGTGAATGGAACAGTGAAGGATGTGGATAGTATGAGGATGCTCTGCATTGCCCAAACTGGAAACTCAGAGTGTTTAACTGGTTAATTCACCATCTAGCCTCTCTTGCCACCCCACCTCCATCTCTCCAGCTAGCCTGCCCCAACATCTCTCTTCGACACATCAACCATTATATAAACCTTTACTATCCTAGCATCAACTCATACAAATGCTCAGAAAATTACAGAATATCTGAATGAGGAAGCCGTGTCCCGTTCACCTTGCTCACCAAACCTAAACTTTTCGTTCCCATTAACCTATCCTCGAGTTTCTTTTGCGATGTGGTAAACTGCCAGTGTTTTCTTAGAGTCCAAGAGATGCTGTTAGTTGTCGCTGTTGCCATTGTTGTTATTTTCAACACATTTTCATCGCCAACATTCACGTCATCAAATTTCGACAGTGCAGATTTTCAGCTTGGAATGACCAGGTATCCCAAACTCTCAGTATACTATGAAATGGCTTTGAAATTATCTGGCGGCTCTCACTGTTTGTATGCAAGTTTTGTAGAACGCAAAGCTTGCTGTCCATGATAGCAACATTATCCTTTTTCAATGTTATTAAATGTGTTTACTGATAATAGAGAAGTAAGGTTCACGAATGGCTTAAATAACGAAGTAGGATTCGGATGCAGGAAGAAGAGAGATTAGTGAACTGTTTAGTGGGCAACATGCTCTGAGCATTAAATGATTGGCCAGATATGCTGGGAGGTATAAATATTGGGTCTAAGCTGTGAGAAAATGTGCGTGTGATTGAGGAGAAGTGAAGAAGTTGCATTCACTGTCCGCCTTTACGGAGCTCGAATGCACTGGGATTCCTCTATATAAGAGCTCTGCTACATACGATTTATGTGACCAGCCATGAACCAGCGAAGAAAAATCACCCTGCAGAGGGCCTGGAGAGTCAATCAAGGTTATATAGAAGGAATCTGCGTTATCATGCGATATAATTAGATGCATATTCTGCTATAATCATCGTCTGGTTATTTAGCATTGGTAAAAATTTCATTAAATCCATTCAACAATAACAGCGAATGCACGACGTTGACAGTGATATACACTCTTCTTTACTGATTTTTAATCACAAAACACTTTCAAGGTTCCAGAAAATTATACCCAGAGTTCATACACACAAGACTGAAGTGTTGAATACAAAATTTCATATAGATGGCCAAATTGTGGATGTGGCAACCACTGCGACTCATCCTTCCTCGACGTAGCTCCAAGTCTATGAGAAGTTTCATAGAAGATGAAATTGATGTGTCAATAAAAGTTTATGACGATACATGAAATTCAACAACAAAAAGAACCGCAGTACCTCAACTACGATTGAGAACTCTCTCCCGTACATGCTGAAAATAAGCTGTATTTATCTAATACAGAATCATGGTCGTATCGGATGGTAGAAGCCATCAGTTAACTCCTTGTGACAATTTTCCGATTTCTGTAGGGGTGTACATCAGAGCAAGCTCCCAGCGACAGGATATATATATAAATTACTTCAAGGAAAATCGGTAGAAGAATTATAAAGCGACACTGAGGGCTAGATTAGGAATGGGAACTAGGGAATTTCCCAGCAATGGTATAAATAGTTTTCGACTCTCCATCTCACAAAGATCAAAACTGTCATAACGAAAGAGCTGCGTTGTTACATGCTTGGAATTCACTCGAAAATGATATGGAAACTACCCTTTTGCTAGTAATCTTGCGTGGGAATAGTTCCAGGTAAATGTTGAACTTAGAATCAATCCTTCAAGAGGAAAATATGAAAGCCTTCCGGTCCTCATTTTTGCGATCTTTACGGGGCATAGCGATGACAACTCCCCCAGAAATAATCATTCTAGTCACCTAGCGACAGTAAAAATGAACATCAACAGAAATCATTAACATGCAGAAATAAGAGTCAAAACATACACTACCTAGGTATTCGAACTAGAACTGACACTTTACATACCACG